GATACTACGCTAAAGGTCACTACATTTTACTACGCTAAAGGGCACTATATTACAAATACATGTACTACATTAGGCCACAAGATACCACTAGAGGGAACTAAAATAACAATTTATCTATTTTACTAGTCTTTAAGCAAATAAATAATCAAAATCGGATAAAAATAATAAATAAATTTAATCACAAAACATACACGAAAATACATATACCACAGTAAAAAGTAACTAATTAATATTTTTTTAACAACTAATAATAATTTCTCTATTTTTACTATTTTTTAGCACACTAATATCATTATCCGAATAAAAATAACAAATTAGTTAAATCGCAAAACAATCACAAAACAACATAGAACACATTAAAAATAACTAATATGCTTTTTTTATACGAGTTTTAACAAAAACTAAGTTGGAATACCTCGATTTAAGATTTTTGGAAAGTTGAAGATTTGGTGATTTGGAGCCGAAACGAGCAACCTACAACGAAAGAATACCTTAGCTAGGATGAGGGACCGAGAATCTTTACTTTTTTGGGACGGGTGGGATCCACTCGAGATTTTTTGGTCGCTAATTGAGGGGAGGGGGGGGGGGGGGGGGGGGGGACCACTGTTCCTTAGTTTTTTTAAGGGAGGAGTTCTGTTTGGTGGGGGAAGGGAAGGGAAGGGAAGGGAACAGGTTTAATATGTAGGTATATCGTCGTTTATTAAGGCGTTATACTATAGCACCTTAATAAACGGTACTATACCTGGCCGTCTTTTCATATTCAAATATAGCGCCCTTTTAAAGGGCGCTATATGTATTTTGGTCATAATTTTTTTTTCCCCACCTATTTTTGTGTTTTGAGTCCAAAAATGTATTATTTTGGTTCCGGACTCCACGCATGATAACACTACCCCACCCAAGTACTCATGTTCCTAAAAATAGAGCCTAGAACCTAAATGTGGTCATTTTAGACTCAAATAACCGAAATGAGTGAAAAAAATAATATGACCAAACTATATATAGCGCCCTTTAAAAGGGCGCTATACATATCTTTGATTAGGTATAGCGCCTTTATAAACGACGCTATACATATTTTGTGGGCCCACAAATAACTCTTCTGCGCTTAACTGACATAACAATAATTCAAATGGGTATACCTCAAAAAATTCGACCTCCCGGATTGGGCATTGCCTTATTTAAAGGCGTTAAGGATTTTGCAAAAATCTATTCAGAAATATTCTCAACTCATGTTAAATTTTTCTTCTTGTTAAATTCTCAAGCATTTTGTCATAATATCCGAAAGAGCGAAAAGTAAGAGTTTCATTATATTGGGGGGTGAGGTTGTGGTGGCGAATAACTCAGTGAGCTATAGTTTATCTCCACAGTATCATGTTAAGTTGCCACTTATAATGGAGTACGATAAACTGGTATCGTTGTTGTGTAACAAAATGAGTGTGAGCAAACATTCGGTGAACCTTAAAGTAACCGGAAGATATCCGTATTCTGTCACTCAGCAAGGGGTTGCTTGTTACGCTGAGTTTAACATCGAGGATGATGAAACTTTGGGTGATTTTTTGAGGACTCCGGATGAATATCGAGAATTTCTTTTGATAAAAATGTTGGAAATGTACGTGAAGGTTGAAGACATTCGCAATAATGAGGTGGCGCAAAGTAGGGATAACCCTCAGTCATCGGGTGGTTATTTTGGAATAGTTTTTACCGAACAGGTTCCGGCTGAAAGAGTTTGGCCTGATTTAAACTTATCTCCACGGGCGAATGAGGAGCGAGGAAATAATTTCTCTCCTACTTTACATAATCCACAAGACGAGTGATAAACTTCAATTTTTCTTTGTGTTACGATATTTATTTTTGATGTATTGAATTTGTATTAACACTCATATATTCCACATGGGGTACCGGCCAAATATGAATTTTATAAGTTATGAACCCACGCCCAGTTGAAATATGCGTAGTTCTGGTATGTTGGATCATGGTGGTCCATTAGGGAGTCATCACCAATAGGATAATATCCATCATGGGATGTCAACACATTACGACTTGTAAGTGAAGTGATATAGCTATATGTAAAGTGTTTGACAATTTAAGTAGCTCATTATTTTGTTGTTTATGCAGTGAAAATGAGCAAGTTGAACCTCCTGTCCTGACTCAATTGCCCAAAGACGATATATTTAATCGGGATCTGACAGATGCACAGAGTCAGAAAGAAAACAGTGATTATGACAACAATGCTGGTGAGTCCGGAGATGACACACCCTTCCCTGATGAGGGTGGTGACGAGGAGGAAGAGAATGCTGGACCTGATTTGATGAGGGAGCATGCTCCACCCCCCATTAGACCAAGAGTGTACGAGTCCCAAGTGCCGTTTTATTCAAGGGATATTCCCTACCTTGATCATTTGCCAAGTATGCTGGATGTGGATGCCCTCACAAGGGATACTCACGAAATTCGGACAACAATGTGGACGAGTCTAGACCAATGGTGCTGGCAAAGGGCATGTTTTTTCCTGATAAAACGCGCCTAAGCAGGCGGCGAAAATGTACAGCGTAAAAGAGTGTCGTGAGATGACGGTATGGGAGTCAACTCCGGATGTATACAAAGTTATTTGTCGTAGATGGTTTACGGGTTGTCATTGGATGCTGCGTGCGAGCAAGAAGAAACAAGTATGTGAAAAGTGGGTAAATACATTGGCATCCACACTTGTGAAATGGACACATTCAATGGGAATCACTTCAACTTGGATATTGACTTGATTTCTCTTGTCCTTATTCCACATATGGCTGTACCATTACCAAAAGAAAGGCATTTCTGGGGAGCAAACGTGCGTTTGAAGTTATTTATGGTAACTGGGATAAGTCATTTGCAACTCTACCCAAGTACATGGCCGCATTGCAATACTTTAACCCCGGGACCGTTGTTGAATGGAAACTTGGGCGGAGTCCGGGAATACCAGAATATATATTCAAATACGTGTTCTGGGCATTTAAACCAGCAATTGATGGTTTTCTGTATTGCCGGTCGGTAATATCCATAGACGACACTCATGTCTATAGAAAGTATGATATTAAGTTGTTGATCGCCGTTGCAGTAGATGCTAATGGAAGTATAATTCCTTTAGCTTTTGCTATTTGTGCCAATGAAAGGCAAAAAGGCAAGAGACACGGACACTATTTTTGAACCACTTGAAATATCACGTTGTCAAACAGCGTTCAGGTATTTGTCTAATATTTGATCGACATGGTGGTATTATATGTTCTGTAGAGAATTTGCCTGCATGGCAAGAACCGTATGCCTACCACCGTTACTGTGTGAGGCACCTGAAGGCCAATTTCCAGAAGGCACATCCCTATAAGGATTTGCATGATTTAATGTGGATGACTGCAACAGATCACCGAGAGCATAAATTCCGGAGGCACATGGAATCTATCAGGCATGAAGACGAGGCAGCCTATCATTGGTTGATGCGGCATAAGCCTGAAAAGTGGACTTTGCATGCAGATGGTGGTAGAAGATGGGGAATTCTGACTACAAATGTGTCAGAGTCTTTCAACGGGTTATTGAAGTCTGCACGAGGATTGCCTATCAGTGCCATGGTGCGAATGTTATTCAAGCAGATGGCGGAGAGGTTTGTTGAAAGTGCTGTAGCTGTAATGTCATTGATGGGAAGAGGTGTTGAATTTATGCCACAACCAATGAAAGGATTTGAGAAATACAGGCGGCGAGCATATTGGCATTTATTTTTACAGTATGATCACGACCGAAATATTTTTGAAGTTCGCACCGCTATCCATCAAAATCGGGGGAATAGTGTACACACCATAAATGAATCTAGAAGGTTATGCTCTTGTGGGAAATGATTCATCTATCACATGCCGTGCTCACATGCCATCAAGTGCTTTCAACATACAGGTTTAGGGCCAACCAACTACGTTGATAAACAATATAGTATTGCTGCATACTTAAACACTTATAGTAGGCAGTTGCAGCCAGTGAGTGCTGAGCATTATTGGCCACCGGAACTATTTAAAATGGTGTGTAACAAGAAGTTTTTGTGTCAGGGACAAGTGCAAAAAAGAACGCGTATACAGAGCCAAATGGATGTCGGTGATACCGTTTATGCGTGCAAATGTGGCATATGCTCGCAAACAGGACACGACCATCGTAAATGTCCTTCAGCTGGTTTGGGTGGCGGTGGTAATCCAACTCCTATGGAAGTTCATCTAAAGTGCCCAACTATCAAGGATACACGTAGTGTTTTATTTCCATATTGTGGTTGTAATAAGTGTATGTACTTGTTTATGTTGCAAAATGTATCAAATAAAATTATGTTTCCATTGTTGTTAAATCTTATTGATATTTAACATTATCAGTGGAGTAAATTAATGAATTTCTCCCTCCCGTTCATGTTATCAAAAATAGTATTGGATTAAAAAGCCAAACTTATTACGTTGACTTTTGAATTTCAATCTAAATTTATTGGAAAGTTGAAGATTTGAATCCGAAACGAGCAACCCACAACGAGAGAAGACTTAGCTAGGATGTGAGACCAATAATCTTTACTTTTTGTGGGACGGGTGGGGTCTACTCGAGTTTTTTTGAGTCGTTAATGGGGGGACCGCTGATTTGATTTTAAAAATGAGGGGGGAGGGGGGGGGGTTATTATTTTGGTTCTGTAACGCGGGGGAAAGGGAAGGGACGGATATTTGAAGGGGTATAACGCAGTTTATTAAGACTCTATAGTTTATTAAGGCGCTATATATATATCGCCTCAATAAACTGCGCTATATCTGTCCGTCTAATAAAAAATATGTATAACGCCCTTTTAAAGGGCATGCCCTTCTGAAGGGCGCTATATATAGTTTGATCGCATTGTGTTTATTCACTCATTTGGATAATTTGAGTCTAAAAAGACCACGTTTAAGTTCCCAACTTCCAAAAACATCTAAAGGATAAATATGTCAATTCTTCTCATCATAAATATACAGTAGCTTTGTGACTCAGTGATCTCTCGCTTCAACTGTTCAACAGCAAAGTTGAAACTCCCAATTTGCATTGCCACATTGAGTTCCAACAAAATTACATTGAACTAAGCACAGGGAAAAAAGTACTAGAAGTTAAAAAATCACGGATTTCAACCCCAAATTAGGCAAAAAACACAAAAAACCAAGAAAGAATCCGGTAGAAATTACCCTCTGCATGCCTGACATTTTCCACTTCACTCTCTTCTTACATCACCAGCACTGAAGTTATAATCTTTCAATTTGCTAAACTATTTTCAATTTCATTGGAGTGTTCTTTTGGGTTCTTGATTCTTGAGATTGAGTCTGCTGCTGGGAATGGCAGCTTCTTGTTCCTGTACTGCTTCCCAGAAAGAGGTGGAAGACAAGCTCACAGCTTATGGGATGAAGCTAATGAATCCTCCCTCTTCCATTGATGACCTCCGCAACTTTCTCCATGTAAAGATCAAATCTTTATTTGTTTTTATGCCCCCTATACATTAAAAGGGACCTTTCTTTCTGTGTGATATTAAAAGGGACCTTTCTTTCTGTGTGATATATTGCTGTTTGCAGTGATAGCTTATCAATTTTGTTCTGTTTTGTTAATGGAAAGGCTTTTTAGAGGCAATGGTTGCCTGTCAATTTGATAGATTTTTAATCCTTAGTTTCATTTCTGTTATTTGTTCAGTGCTGTTACACTATCTAGCTGGATAGTTCTTTAGCTCTAAATGGATATTTTCTGCTTTTTAATATTGAATTAGATGGAATTGAATCAGAAATGAGGTGGAAATGGGAATTGCTGTTTTAGTGTAATAAATTTGGAATTAAAAATGGAAGTTATCTATTTATTACTATATACATACAGCAACAACAACAACATACCCAGTTTAGTCCCACAAGTGGGGTATGAGTAGTGTAGGGTGGACTCTGCCTTTTTTCGGTAGAACCTCGGTTCAAGATATTTATTGCTATATTTTGATATTGGATATATATATTTGCAATTTATGGTTTACTGGGTATAAACTACAACTGTAATTGACAGCTTAATGTGTGTATTATTTTCTGGAAGTTGGTTTTGCTCATATTTTAATATGTTAAGGCATTGCAAGCTAACTCCTCCATTTTCCTTTTTTTTTTTGGGGGCTCAGAGAGTTGAATCCTTACTGAAAATGGTAGGTCAATGCCCTTCTGATTCAATGAAAAGTGCACTTCAACCTGTAATGAATGCACTAATCGAGAAAGAGCTTTTGAGGCATAACACCGAAGATGTCAAAGTTTTAGTTATTTGTTGTATTACTGAGCTTTTCAGAATAACTGCCCCACGTCACCCTTATGATGATGATAGACAAATGGAGGTACAAATATACCATTCTAGTTTGTCCTCTATTTTCTACAGTATGTTCACTTTTAACCTGATCAATTTGTTTGTCTCAAACTTATACATCCATTTACATTTTCTTTGCACATGCATGTATTCGCAATTCTCAGGAAATTCTTCAGCGTACTGTAATGGCATTGAAAAAGTTATCTGATGTTTCTGGCTGCATTTACTATAAGGTGGTCCAAATTCTTGAAATTGTTGCTAAAGTAAGGGCCTTTGTGATGTTGTTGGACTTTGAATGTGACACCTTAGTTATTGAGATATTCAAACTTTTCCTCGGGATTATCAGGTATTCTGTCAAAATTCTCTTTCTCATGGCTATTATCACCATTGCTTTCAGCCGCTCTCTCATTCTTCAATGTTACGTAGAGTGCTCATTCATTTCTTTCTGGCACGAAATCAACCAACTTTAGATTAAGTTTGTGTGAACTATAAATTTCATTAGGATTTTGCAGTGTGCTTTGAATTTTTAACTGCTTATCCATTAAGATGGAACATATATCGATCGATCCTTCTCAATTTATTGTCATGATTGTGGTTTCTCTTGTATATATAATATATATAAGCCAAGTAGTAATTTGGCACTAACTAGCTCAAAAAGGTGGTAAGCTGAAATATACTTATACCTTGAAACGGTGCTCAACTGTATGTGCTATTCAGTATCTTGCATATACTCCATTCGCACTAAGCATGTAGGAGATGTTGACATTGTAAATCATACCATAGTGGATGAGCGTAAGGTTATTCTGGAGATAATATTTCTCTGATGGATGCTTACTAAGATAATATTTATGTTATATTTTCTATCAAGGCCCTACCATCCTCATAATGTATTCACTAAGATGGAAGAAATCATGACTCAGCTCATAGAAGACAGTGATGAACTCTCAGTAGAGCTTCTACGGCCAATTCTTGATAGTGTCAAAAAGGAAAATCAGGCAATAAACCTTTTCCTGTGAACCTTTTGTTTAAAATATTTCTTCGGAACTTTTTTTAACCCAATATTTTTTTTATCCAGATTGCTTCACCTGTTTCATCAAAATTGGGGGAGAAAGTCCTGGAAAAGTGTGCTGCCATTGTTAAACCTTATCTTGCAGAAGCCCTAAAGTCAATGAGTTTAAATCCTGATGACTGTGCTGAAATTGTTGCCTCAATATGCAATGAAACAAAAGGAGAACAAATGGTACTTTGTATTCATAATTATCTCGTCTACACCTCAAACAAAGGCTTCTTGCTGCTTCTTTTTTTTGAAATAGAAAAAAAAATGCTTGCTTTTCTTGAAAGAAATGCTTATTGACATGATGCTTTGTTTAATGTTGATTCTTCACTTTCACTGTGTATATGTCCAAGCATTCATTTATACATATAGTGGAGAAAATACATTGTGATTAAAAATGTAGACTTTTCCTTCTTTCTTGTGCGGGATGGTAGTCGAGATTGGTCCTAATTAACTTCACGTCTCTTTTTAAACCTAGCCCCTCTGTCTCATTCCTACAGTTTTGCTCCAAATAAAATGCCAACCACATCCTCAGTTCATTATGCCTTAAAAATAGATTGTTATCTTTCTTAGGCCTAAGCCTACTGCAGTATAATTAACACACTAAAGGCTGCCACTGACAAATTGCACAGAAAATGGTATCATTGTATGCAGTTAGATTTGAAAGTATGATACATAATAAAGAAAGATATCAAACTTCAAATCACCAAGGAGACAACATCAAGATGTACCCTTTTATTATCTTTTCGTTTTTGGTTGTGGGAGGATTGAAAAACCAAGAGTTAAGAAAGGGAAGGCTAATGGTACACAAATTGCAGGAATGCTGTGCCGCTTAACTGGTTGGATTTTCTGATGATATGACTTAAAATATTTATAACACTTCAAGATACAGCTAGTGGAAGTTTATAGTATTTTCACGTGTGCAACTCGTAGTTCTCCTCAGGGATTAGGTCTTTCTGAACTGCCAGGAATATGGGGTTCTCGAATAATGCAAAACTTCTAACTTTAACCTATTTAGTTGCAGTTAGAGACATAGTACTGTTAAGAGAACATTTATTTCTGTCTCCTAGTGTCTGGCACATTTAGCTCGAAGATGTATAATCTGGATGCATCCGCCTTGCACTAGTGAAAGAAAATTAAACTGACTTCCTCCCTTAGAGGTGAATAAAACTTGTAAATCATTTCATATTCGCTGCAGGCACAGGTGTTGCAGAGCTGTGATTGTCATAACAAAGTAAACATACAGTTTTTAACGAAAGTTTTCCTTTGCAGAATCTTGACCAGTTATCCTTATTGTAAACATACATCACTTAGAGGAATGGTTAGAGCCAAATTAGAATAACGATACTCAACTTAGATTTAGAGTACTCTAGTGTTGAATGTAGTTAGCAAGATTTGAGACGCAAAGTGCACCTCATGCTGAATGCAGTTATTGCAGTATTGGCTCTAACGAAATATTTGGCCAAAAGAGCATGGGAATGCAATGGAGACTATAAGTGCTTGTATTGTGTTTTATTTTAATTAGTAAGCTACAACTGTTTCATATATGCATAGATAACGGTACTCACAGATTTCATTCTTTCTTTTTTCTTTTGTAAAACTTTGTCGATCAGATGGCAAATGAAAATGCACCTGATACTCGACATCCTATAAAAGTTGGTCAATCCGATTCAGAATTTTGTGAGCCAGCGCTGCAGGATGACACTCACATGGAGCAGCTAAAGGTTACTTGTACAATGAATGTCATGAAACCTGTCAATCCAGAAGATGTGCAACCAGCAACAAATGCCGAAGTAGTTTCAAGGAGGAGTAGTGAACTTACAGGTAGTGGTGGCCAGCATTCTTCGGCGTCCAAAAAGCCTGAGATTAGCAATGGAAGTCATGGTCATTGGGATCAGCCCAAAAAGAAAGAGATCCTGACAAATGAGGATGCTCACCTAGGTGTGTTAGTTCCAGAAGGAGACGTGCTGCAATCCCAAGTTAAGAAAAAAGGTTCTCTTCATTTAGGTCTTACTGGGGAAGAGAGAACCAAGCACACAGTTTGTGCCAAAAGAAATCAAGGAAGGAGCTCAAGGAAGAATGAGTTTGCTTCCAATTACGATGCAGATAGCAAATCTGAATTTAGCACCAAAAGTGAAGAAGGAAACATCAGTGACTATGAGGAGCCATCACTGGAACTAATTGATGGAAGGAAAAAGAAGAAAAAGAGAAATTCTTTTAAGATGCTTGATTTTGACGATTCTGGAGATGAGGTTGACATCAATACAGCTCAGTAATAGTTATTTCAAGATCTTCGCTAATTTAATTTTTGCGACGTATAGATTATCAATTACTTTCCTTTTGCAATTCTATTTTTTACTTGTGAGCTGTACAGGCAACTAAACTATCAGTCAGATATGAAAATAACTTAAACGGATGTGCTAATTATCAACCCTGGAGGAAGTTGACCACAGGCAAACATGAGGTACTGATGTACCACTATATATAGCTGTAATTCTTATCTATGTAACCTCCATAGATGCAATTATCAGAGCTTGCATGTATGGTTGTAAATTGTTGAAGTGTTTTATATACTGATTTCGTATCTCACATTTTGCTACTTCAGTGCTTTTCCTAAGAACTTCCCTTCACAGGCAAACTAGTTTTTAGCTCTCTGTTGTGCCAGAACTTGCAGAAAAATAATTTGTCCCTCTTTTGAAATTAGAGCAGATACCAGTCTTTCCTTTATTTCATTAGATTTTGTAGAACTGATTTTGTAGACCCTATTCTTTTGTTCTGAAAGTGGTTCTCCAGACGAGAGAGGATTGGCTTAGTGGTTGAGGGGCTGTGTCACGCTGGGGTTAGTGGGGAACCACGGTTGATTCAGGGGGGTGAAAAGGGGATTAAAAGGATTTTTCTAAAAGAAGCGGTTCTGAATTCTTTCATGTCTGAAGTACCTGTGGCTCTAATTTTTTCATTCAGGATTCTAAATGGTGCCGTAACATCAAACGTTATGGTGAAGAACTGGTTGGTGCTAGAATAAAAGTTTGGTGGCCATTGGATGAAAAGTAAGTTCTTTAGAATATTTATGTGAGGACTGCAACACAATCGTAAATTTTGTGTACTAATAACACCCACTCACCCAACCATCCTGCGAGCACACTCTTTTCAGGAACTTGTTGTAGCTTTCAGTTATTGACTCACATTTTCTGTTATTGAGTCTAGCTACATGTTCTCATCATAGAGTTTCTCTTTGTAGGTTTTACGAGGCAACCATTTCTTCTTTTGACCCTGTGAAATGGAGACACAAGGTGACGAGAATATTATGAAGCCTTGTCATTGCTTCTCTAATTCATACTTTTCTTTAAGTTACTCTGGTGTTTTTGGTATGATGGAGGTCATTTTCTATGAAAAATGGTTTGTTGGAAAATATTTTCCATGGAAAAGATTTTTCCTTTATTATGTGACTTGTGAGTGGAAAATATTTTCATTAATTATAATATCAGCAAATTGGAGAGTGTCTCTGTCACGACCCAAAACTAGCCTGTTGTGATGGCGCCTAACGTGGTATTGACACTTTCAAAATACCTCCAACATTTTTTTAATGAAAAATAAGAATAACACAGGTTTTAATCAACAAAACTCTCAAAATGGATAGAAAGTCAAAACCAATTCAGAAATTCCCAACATCGGGGTGTCAACCGAGTGCATGAGCGTCTAAACATCACAAATCTGGGAGTACTGTCTATAATAGTCTGAAACTAAATACATAAAATGGAAAGATAGGGAATGAGAGACAAGGTCTGCGAAACGCCGGGCAACTACCTTGAAATCTCCCAAAAGATCAACTGCGCAAAGGAATCAACACTTACCGTGTCCGGAAACACCTGGATCTGCACACGAAGTGCAGGGTGTAGCGTGAGTACAACCAACTCAGTAAGTAACAAGACTAAATAAAGGACTGAAAGTAGTGACGAGCTTCACAGTTATAATTCAATTATATTAATTTCAACATAGGAAGATAGACATGCTTTCAAGTTCGACAATTTAGGCCATAACAGTTAATCCATGTCAAGTTCAAGTGAAACATAATATAATCTCTCTCAGAAATTACAAGACGGTGATATATGACAACTGAAGTGCAACAGAAATGAAAGTCAAATGCATCCTCTTAGAGCAACAGTCACTCAGTCCTCCCATTCACTCCAACCTCACAATCACAGGTACCTGCGCTCACGGGGTGTGTACAGACTCAGGAGGGGCTCCTTCATCCCAAGCACTGTAACAAGCCAATCATGGCATAAATCAATGAAACATGCTGCGACGTGCAGCCCGATCCCATAAATATCCTCAAAATCAGGCCCTCGGCCTCACTCAGTCATCAACCTCTCCAGTCTCTCGGGGCTCTCAGAAATCATGAAAATCAGCCCAAACAGAAATGATATAATGTATCAACAAGGAACAATAGAGACTAAGATATGATATGCAAATGAAACTGTGACCGAGTACAAAACAACAATTTAGCAGATAATTTAACATTTACACGACTTATGTGGGTCCCTACAGTGCCAACACATGGTCTAAACATGATTTCTAACATGATTTGTAGTTCAATTTCTCTAATAAGTGGAGAATGTACGGATAACAACAGATTATTCAACTACATAGTTCCATGGAATTAACCAAGTTACAATTCCTACGGTGCACACCCACACGCCCGTCACCTAGCATGTGCGTCACCTCAAAACCAAACACATGACGGGTTTCATACCCTTAAAACCAAATTTAGAAATGTTACTTACCTCAATCCGAGCAAATCTCTACTCCAACACACCCTTGCCTCGTGAAACGGCCTCCGAATGCCTCGAATCTAGCCACAAACAATTCGATATAATCAACACGGGCTAAAGGAATCAATTCCAGAAGAAAAATACTAAGTCATTAATCAAAAGTCAAAAATCGACTCAAAAGCCGGCCCCCGGGCCCACGTCTCGAAATCCGTTAAAAGTCACAAAACCCGACAGCCCATTCAATCATGAGTCCAACCACACCAAATTGACCAAAATCCGACACCAAATCGTCACTCAAATCCCCAAATCAAACTATCCAAATCCCTAGCCTCAAACTCCCAAATTCCACCTTAAATACACACAAGCTAGGTGGGAAATTCAATGGGGAAACAAGATTATTGATAAAAAATGAGCACAAGGGACTTACCTCAAGAAACCCCTCAAAAATCCTCTCAAGAATCGCCCAAACCCGAGCTTGAAATGTTTAAAATGAAGCAAAATCGCGAACCCTCGTTTTTAAATAATCTGCCAAGCATTCACGCTTCTGCGGCTACTTTAGCCGCTTCTGCGGCACCGCTTTTGCGGTCCATCCTCCTCGTCTGTGGAGGCCGCTAAGCCGCCCAGTCGCTTCTGCGGTCGAACCCCCGCTTCTGCAGGCGCGCATCTGCGCAAGCAAACCCGCTTCTGCGGACCAGCCTCATCACTCCTACTTCTGCTTATGCGACCCTCCAAGCGCAGGTGCGAGTCTGCATATGCGGAATACCTTCCGCATCTGCGTTCCACAGTCCCCAGTCCAATCCTCCGCATCTGCGCAACACAGCCCGCACCTGCGAGCTCGCACCTGTGCGAGCACCTGCGATCAAAGCTCCGCAGGTGCGGTTATACCAACACAGTCCCAGCTTCAGCAGTCTTTCAAACTCAAACTTTGATCCGAAAACCATCTGAAATCAACCTGAGGCCCCCGGGACCTCAACCAAACATATCAACAAGTCCTAAAACACGATACGAACTTTAGTCGATCCCTCTAATCACCTTAAACAACATCAAAAACACGAATCGTATCACAATTCAAGCCTATTGAAACTAAGGAATTCCAACTTCTACAAGCGACGCCGAAACCTATCAAATCACGTACGATTGATCCCAAATTTTGCACTCAAGTCACATTTGATATTACGGACCTACTCCAACTTCTGGAATCGGAATCCGACCCCGATATCAAAAGTCCACTCCCGGTCAAACTTTTCAAAAATTCAATTTTCTCCATTTCAAGCCTAATTCCACTACAGACCTCCAAATCACAATTCGGACACGCTCCTAAGTCCAAAATCACCCAACGGAGCTAACAGAACCATCAAAACTCCATTCCGGAGTCGTTTACTCATAAGTCAACATTCGGTCAACCATTTCAACTTAAGCTTTCAACCTATGTTGCGCGGATTCTCCAAAATGTAGCCATACCCGTATCGGATCCTTAAAAAATGCACTACTTTTGGAGTGTCCGACACGTATCCGGCCATATTTTCGGAGAGTCCGAGCAACATAGCTTTCAACCTTGAGACTAGGTGTCTCATTTCATTCCAAAATCACTCCGGACCAGAGCCGACTACCCCGTCAAGTCACATAACAGCTATAAAGTACAAAATGAGCAGTCAATGGGGGCACGGGGCTACAACTCTCAAAACGACCGGCCGGGTCGTTACAGTTTCGATGAAACTTTTGAGTACTAGAGATTAATAATAACGTCTAAAGGTTAGTTGAAACAAGTATTATGAAGTTAAAAGTTACGATTGTTGTAAATTTTCGCTCATAAGCGAGGGAAGTCATTTCCTTCCGTCATACCAAACACCAGAAAATGATTTTGGAAAACACTTACTCATGAAAAACATTTTTGCCATTTTAACTCATGTCTAACACACTTTATATGTTCGATTTTATATTTCACTCTTTTTTAAAAATATATTCAAATATCTAGTGTGAAGATATGGTCCTCGAGTCTAAGTTAACCACTAAAGTTTGTTCATGAGGGGATTGCGCAAGACTATTTTTTTTGATTTTGCTCCGGGTGTCCGAGTCTCTTTGAGCCCCGACTAATCCCGGGGGTGCACAGGCCCTCGGCAAGGAGTTTCCCGCAGGTGCACCACGGTTAATTCAGGTTTTACCCAGTCCGATGGCCCTCAGAAATTGTTTGCACCCAGTGGGTTTCGAACTTGAGACCTTGAAAGGGAGCAAACCCCAAGGCTCAAGTCAATTGCCACCAGGCCAACCCCTGAGGGTTGGGATTGCGCAAGACTATAAGGAGACCACAACTCATTTCCTCAACTGATGTGGAACTCTAACTCACTCTAACATCCCCTCGCACGCCTAGGCCTTCCAAAGGCTTCCAACTGGAGCGTGGGCAATATATCAGGGGCCCAAATAGGGATGGATCTGCCTTTGAAGCCATGAAAAAATATAGACCTTTGGCCTAACTCAACCCAAAAGCTAGCTCATGAGGGGAGGATTGTCAACACCATATAAGAAAACCACAGCACATTGCCTCAACCAATGTGAGACTTTAACCCACTCTAACATGCACGTACACCACCACAACAATAGTAGTAGTAGTAGTAGTAATAATAATAATAATAATAAATAAGACTTAAGTCAAAAAAAATATTCTCTTATTACTGCTAATATATCTGTTAGTAAAACTAAGTCTATCTTCATTTTGAGTCAAATGAGGTGACATACACTAGGGAAAGGCCAAGTCTATTTAACTGTTCAAATTCAATAACTGCCACATAAATCCCCTTTTACATACATATACGACATTGCAGTTCAGAAGACCTCTGTGTTGTAGACCTTATTCATAGCCAACCAAGGGAAAGATATACTGATAGTGAAGTAGCAATCCTATCTAACTTGAACAATGTTTTATTGGCTTTAACACTTTGCAAAAGTTCCTCCTGAACGTTCTAATGACCCATGCTCTTTTGATGTTTCATTTTTAGGTCTTATATGATGATGGTGATATAGAAAACTTGATATTACATGAAGAGCGATGGGAGATGCTTGAAGACAATTCATCTCAAAAGGTTCTTCACCTGTCTAATATACTGTTATCTCTGACAGATTTCATATTCTTGTTGCATTACATCTGTTTGTGATGTTATTCTTTTTTGTGCATTCTGTTCAGAGCAGCCCAGTAATAGTTATTTTTGCTAATTTTAATTTTTCTATGTACGGATTATCAATTACTTTCCTTTTACAATTCTCTTTTTTACTTGTAAGCTGTACAGGCAACTAAACTTAATGCCAGAGATGCTGATCTACCACTATATTTAGCTGTAGTTCTTATATGTGACCTCCATATATGCAATTATCAGAGCTTGCATGCGTGGATGTAAATTGTTGAAATGCTTCATATACTGATTTCATATCTCATAGTTTGGCACTTGACTGATAAGAACTTTCCTTCACAGGATAACTAGTTTTTAGCTCTCTATAATGTGCCAAAACTTGCAGAAAAATCCAATTCCCCTCTTTTCAACTTAGAGCAGTCTTTACTTTATTTTTATTGTGGAACTGACGGAAATTCTGTTTTAGACCCAATTCTTTTGCTCTGAAAGTGGTTCTCCAGACGAGAGAGGATTGGCTTAGTGGTTAGCTGCCTCCTCCTTCAACCTGTGGGTTGAGGGGCTGAGTCACGCTGGGGTAGGGGTGGGGGAACCACGGTTGATTCAATGGGGTTGAGAAGGGGATTAATAGGATTTTTTGTGAAAAAAGTGGTTCTGAATGCTTTCATGTCTGAAGCACTCGTGGCTCTAATTTTTTCATTCAGGATTCTAAAAGGCGTCGTAACATCAAACGTTATGGTGAAGAATTGGTTGGTGCTAGAATAAAAGTTTGGTGTCCATTGGATGAAGAGTAAGTTATCTAGAATATTGATGTGAGAACTGCAACACCATTGTGAAAATATTGATGTCAGATGACATCTTCAATTTCATTTCCACCAGTTCGCCTTTTACTTTGTCTTGAATAAGAACGAATAATCTAGCTACATTTTCTCATCTTAAATTTTCTCTTTGTAGGTTTTACGAGGCTATCATTTCTTCTTTTGATCATGTGAAAAAGAGACACAAGGTAACGAGATTATAATGAAACCTTGTCATTGTTTCACTAATTCATAATTTTCTTTATGTTACTCTATATGTTCCATTTTACTTGTACACTTCTTATTTTGAGATATATTCAAATGTTTAATGCATGTACGACTATAACAATAATAATAATTCAACATCATCTATCTGTTTGAACCCTTGTATCATATGTTTCCTTATCAAAAATTATTTCAGGTAAAGACCAAGTGAACAAAAATTCTCCTACCACTGCTAATATATTTGTTAGTAAAACTAACTCTATCTCCATGTTGAGCTAAATGGGGTCGCATAAACTAGGGAATGTCCAAATCTATTTAGCTATTCAAATTCAAGATCTGCCACATAAATCCCTTTTTACATAGAGGTACGACCTTACAGTTTAGAAAACCTCTTTTTAATAGAGCTTATTCATAAGTACACAAGGAAAGGAAATATCTGCTGATTGTGAAGTATAACAATCTTATCTATCTTGAACCATGTTTTATTGGCTTAAACATTTTGCAAATGTAAATTCTAAACGACCCGTACTGTTTTGGTGTTTCCTTTATAGGTTGTACATGTTGATGGTGAAGTAGAAATGTTGAAACTACATAACGAACGGTGGGAGATGCTTGAAGACAATTCATCTCAAAAGGTTCTTCACCTGTCTGATATACTGTTCTCTCAGACATTTCATATTCTTGTTGCGTTATATTTGTATATGATGTTATTCGTTTCGGTTCAATCTGTTCAGGACAATGAAATAAACATTCAAGGCCATGCTGTTTCATCTGTTACGTAAGTATTGAATCTAAAATTCATTATAACATTTGGGATATCCAGCTTTGGTTGTTGTGCTTTCCTAGTTCCTACAAAATTATTTGTTTCCAGCGCATCGTATCAATATTCTTGTGCTGCTCTTAGAATAGCTCCACGTTTCTTCTCAATTTACTATATTTCCATTAAAAAATCGTGCCTGCTCCATGCAACTGTGATTATGGGGGAGTTCAGGCATATCTCTGCTTAGTAGGGCAAGCCTTTTTGGTCCTAGCAGTAGCTTAGATAAAAACAATTCCATTTATGTAAATCTTTGTTTGGATATTCAAGTTAAAGCAAAACAAACTATTTATGCATGTCACTGTATGGAGAGTCTGAGGCTATTATCAGCCTTCTTTACTTCAATGTTGTCAAAGTGTGACTGATCACAGCAAATCTCACCACCTGAAAGATTTGGGCAGGGAAAGTGATAAAACCCCACCTGTGAAGACTTATTTTAGAAGAAAGCGTGAAAGAGGAGATCAAGATTTCGTCAGCCTTGACCAAGTCTAACTTCTTCAATACGTAGCTACCATTCCTACCCACTATCAGATCAGACATTAGAGTTTTCTTAGTCATTTGTCGTAAAAAGTATGTATCCTATAAATATCTAGTTAGGATTATATTGGTATGTTTGAATATTTGCATCTGGGAGTTTTATCCACTCCATGCGGACAAATTTATTGGCTGTAAATTGTTTTTAAGATTCTCGCAAGAATTTTCCTTCTATTCAGTCACTTCCATTGAAATTTCCAGCATCAAATAAAAGTTAATGTTGGCAAATGGCAATGTCTGAAATATCAAGCAAGTTTCACCACCTGACTTGACCAGAGGAGGTATATGTGATTAATGTGTTTGACATATACTCATTTTGCATTTTCTTTTCTCTTTTCCAATCAAAGGAAGATAACGTTGTTATACTCTAGTCATTTCTTAATTTCAAGCACGGGGTCAGGACAATCTTTCTCCAACAGAGGCAATAAGTCGTAGTTGTTGCTTATTATTGACATTTTAAGGCTTTTGGTTGATGGAACTGGAGCAAGTTTTCAAAGAAGAAAGCAAAAAAGAAACTCCTCAACAGGGCCGAACATCTCTTTATCCAAGAGGTCTTTCTGTTTGTTACACTTGTACCCTGTAGTTGCACTCTGAACTCAAAGTTCGATGGTATTTTGACAAGCTGTAGTTTCTATCTGCATAAAGAAATCATGTAAAATACTAGTCAGGTTTATGACATTATTTGGTTCACAAGTTACAATTCATAATTTATGATTTCCTGTGACACAGCAATACAAATGTGAATTTTGTCTTACAAAATAAAGAAGGGTGACTTTACTCTATAAATTTTATTAGTTGGATGATCATTTGAGCAATCTAACTCGCTACTATTAGCTTCTATGGCCTAATTCATACCGAATAAGAGAAGACATGTGATGTGATTTTAATAATTAATTGAAGGGGTTGGTTCATACAAGTTTCTATTAATGGATCAGTGAAGTTGAAAGTCGTGCAAAATGTAAAAGCAATCATGTTATGATTCTAATCTCAGCATGATATGTAGGAGTATATTCGTAGTACAGTGGCGTGCTTTCATATCTTCAGCACAAGTTATTCCTATTATAATTAGACTATTATTGGTTAGCTTTCTTTGTGCTACTACTATGTATTGAACACGCACTGCACATGTTTTTCTTTTTAGTAATGAGTCAGTGCTGTGCTACATTATATTGAAAAGACGGCATTGGTTGAGTATTGGACTCTGCTTTTGTGGCCAAACCTAACGAATAAATGATAAGCTATTGTAATTTGGTGTTGACATTCGCTGTGAATAAGTTCTTTCGTCACTTAACATTCGTCGAAGGTTTAATTTGACTCCACTTAACGGAAGTCTGAAATTGAATCATTTCATTTCTTACTATTTTTTTTTTTTACATATGCGTTGCACGTGTATTACGTTAATTTTTCATCTAATATATATATCAAATGCTAAAAATAACTAATGCATATATATTTGAAAAATATTTGATTTAATTATAAATTACAAAGTTAAATGCAACAAAAGCTAGCATAATGTAACCTTTGTTATTATACTGTATTTGTACAATAATTATGGAGAAGAAAACAACGTATAAACAGAAATGTAGAAGAAGTAGAAATTAATCCGAGCCCACTGAATTCACAGTGTATCCTTAAGGAACTTAATCCCCTTCTAGTACTCGAGGTTGTGGATTATTTTCTTCCAGGATAGAGCGGATTACACACTGGCGTAGCGGTACTTCAAACCCCAGTGTTTCAACGAACACAAATGGCGACAACAAATCACACTTATTGTTGCTTTGTTGTAGTTAAAACAATGCAGAAAGGAAGAGGAGAATTCAGAATTTTCGTATGAAAAATCTGAGGTAATAGTGTGCTATTTATAGCCAACATGTTGAGTTTAAACGAAGAGGTGCAACTCTTCAGAAGGCCTGTCATGACTGTTCACGTAAAACAGCCATAACGTAAATGGCTATTTACGCAAAACAAAACGGGAATTCAAAACGTGGAGGAAAATTAATTTTCCGTTACAAAAATGGATAATTTGGATTAAATAATATTACGTTAATCTTTAATATTAATAAATAAATTTGGTCCAAAAAATTAATCAATCAATTGACCAAATCCGAAGCCGAGCTGAGCCGAGCGAGCGAGTGACGACGACGGCGCGAGGCTTGCTTTCTTCTTAACTCTTTAAGAGCTAGAAGAAGATCAATTGTATATATACCCATCAAAAGTCTTTTTCTCCTCCAATATGGGACAATGTCCCTTTATCAAGGAGGAAAAATTAAATTTTTATTTTTTCCCTCAATTTTTCATTCACCCTCTTTTATGCTAAAATAAGCTTAAAAACCCAACAATCCCCCACATGAATGGGGAATGGCTATATCACGAAAATATGCATGAAAAACTGTGTGATTCGCAAGCAAGGATTAATCGCATCTGGATAAGTAGGTTTTCCTTTGAACTTTATGTAGTGAATTTATGTCGGATATACTCAGTCAATCGGTAGATTTGATAACTTTGAACTATCAAACTTTGGTGTATATCTAGACAACCATAAGTCACACAATCAACCCTTAACCATCTTTGGTTCTCATTGTTGTATTCGTTTCAGCCATGAACACCGTCTGGTTTCATAAGTGCGTAGAGAACTGGCCTTACAAAATTCTCCTTGAAGTGACTAACACTTCACACTTACATAGGTGATTCCTAAACGTGTCATCCCGTAGATATATTATTTGATATACCCCGTATCAAATTTAGAAACCATTAAAAAGCCTTAATGCTTTATCCTTGGCACTGAACATTGTCTCATCACGAGAATGGACCAAAATTTTAGTTGACAATATTGAACCGTCATTAATGACTTTGTTTGATATCCTTGAACCTAGATCTTGGGATCTCCAGTCTTCTAGGTAGAGTTACCGCCACAATGACTTGTCCTCGGCCATAGTCCCATTCTTTTCGATGATTTCTCAACTACCTCTCTAGTTAGGCCTTTCGTAAGTGGATCCGACACATTATCACTTGACTTTACATAGTCAATCGTGATAATTCCTCTAGAGAATAATTGCCTAATGGTTTTATGTCTTCGTCGAATATGACGAGATTTACCGTTATACATAACGCTCCCAGCCCTTCCAATTGCCGCTTGACTATCGCAATGTATACATATTGGGGCCAATGGTTTGGGCCAAAATGGAATATCTTCCAAGAAATTTCGAAGCCATTCCGCTTCTTCACCGGTTTTATCTAAGGCTATGAACCCAGCTTCCATTGTAGAGCGGGCAATACAAGTTTATTTGGATGACTTCCAAGATACCTCTCCTCCACCAATAGTGGATACATATCTACTGGTGGATTTAAAATCAGTTGAATCGGTGATCCAATTTGCATTACAATATCCCTCAATCACCGCATGATACTTAATGTAGTGCAAAGCAAAGCCTTGGGTATGTTCTAAATATCCCAAAACTCGTTTCATTACCATCCAATGAGATTGACCTGGATTACTCGTGTCTCGACTCAATTTACTTATAGCACAAGCTATATCTGATCGTGTATAATTTATGATATACATTAAACATCCCAACACACGAGTATAATCCAATTGTGATATGCTTTGGCATTTGTTCTTTGCTATTGCAAGATTCACGTCAATTTGAGTCTTTGCAACTTTAAAATCTAAGTACTTGAATTTTTCAGGTACCGTTTTAATATAATGAGATTGTGACAGTGTCAGACCTTGAGGAATCTTATGGATCTTAATACCTAGAATTAAATCGGCAACTCCCAAGTCCTTCATATCAAACTTGCTAGTTAGCATACGCTTAGTCTCATTTATGTTGGCAATGTCATTACTCACTATCAGCATATCATCCGCATATAAACAAACAATGACTATGTGATTTGAAACATTTTTAATGTACACATATTTATCACATTCATTTATCTTAAAACCATTTGACAACATTGTTTGGTCAAATTTCACATGCCATTGTTTGGGTGCTTGTTTTAGTCCGTAAAAGGGACTTAACAAGTCTACATACCTTATTTTCTTTACCTGGAACCACAAACCCTTCAGGTTGTTCCATGTAGATTTTTTCCTCCAAATCTCCATTTAAGAAGGCCGTCTTCACGTCTATTTGATAAATTTCAAGACCATAAACCGCAGCTAAAGCTACTAATGTTCGTATGGATGTAATTCTTGTAACATGAGAGTATGTATCAAAATAATCAAGACTTTTTCGTTCTCTATACCCTTTGACCACAAGTCTTGACTTATATTTATCAATAGTGCCATCATCTTTCATTTTCCTCTTAAAAATCCATTTAGAACCCAACGGTTTATTTCCAGGAGGAAGATCAATCAATTCCCATGTATGGTTGTTCAATATGGATTCTATTTCACTATTGACTGACTCTTTCCAAAATAATAATTCCGAAGAAGACATAGCTTCTTTAAATATTCGAGGCTCATTTTCCAATAAGAAAGTAACAAAATCTGGTCCAAATGAAGTAGATGTTCTTTGACGTTTACTACGTCTTGGATCCTCTTGATTAAACGTACTTTCTTTTGTTTCTTCCCGAGGTCGTTTAGATTCTTCATCAATCGACTCATATTCCTTTTTATACAGATATATATTTTCGAAGAACTCAGCATTATCTAATTCTATAACAGTATTGTTATGAATGTCAAATTTTCTGATTTATGAACCGAAAATCGATATGCTTTACTATTGGTCGCATATCCTATGAAAACACAATCAATGGTTTTCAGTCCTATTTTTACCCTTTTGGGTTTAGGAACTTGCATTTTTGTCAAACACCCCCACACTTTAAAATAATTCAAGTTGGGCTTCCTTCCTTTCCATTTTTTATATGGAATGGATTGCATTTTTCTATGGAGTACTCGATTTAGTATCCGGTTAGCCATAAGAATGGCTTCCCCCCACAAGTTCTGTGGCAAACCAGAACTTATCAACAATGTGTTCATCATCTCCTTTAATGAACGATTCTTTCTTTTCGCAATCCCATTGGATTGGAGCGTGTAAGGGACCGTTGTTTGATGAATAATTCCATATTCTAAACATATTTCTTCAAAAGGAGATTCATATTCACCACCCCTATCACTTCTTACCATTTTTAATTTCTTGTTAAGTTGCGTTTCAACTTCATTTTTGTATTGCTTGAATG